GAAAGAGGGGGGAACAGAGATATGGGGAGGGGGGAGACAGACAGAGAGGGAAGAATGAGACACTGGGAGAAAGAGGGGGAATAGAGAGATAGGGAGGGGGAGAAAGAGACACAGGGGGAGAAAGAGATGGGGAGGGGGAGAAAGAGACAGAGAGGAAGAGAGATGTGGGGGAGAGACAGGGAAAGGGGGGAGAAAAACAGTGGAAGAGAAGGAGAAAGAGGCAGAGGGGTAAGAGAGACTGGGAAGGAGGGGGGAGAAAGAAACATACAGAGGGACGGGGGGAGACAAAAAGGCACACAGAAGGGCTGTATATATCACTGGTGGATCCAGGGGGGGCAACAGGGCAATTGCTCCCCCCCCTGTCCGCAGGCACCGTGCGGGCAGGGGAGGAAGGAAGAGAGGACCTGGGAGCTCACCCTGCAGCTCCTCTGGGTCCTTCTTGCACGAGCACAGAGCGTTGCCGCGATTACCATGGCAACATTACCGCTCTTGCGAGAGTCAACTCTGGAGCTACGGTCTAGTGTTCACTCTCAACACTGTGACCCCCAGGGATTCCTGGTGGTCGCAGTGGTGAGAGTGAACTCTAGCCCCATAAACACACTGCCCCCACACACACAACATACACATTCACACACTGCCCCCATACACACCATACACATTTACACACATTGCCTCACACACACACATACACTGCCCACCCATATACACATAGACCCCATACACAGCCCCCCATACTAACATTGCCACACACGTACACAGCCCACACACCCTACACATTCACACACTACACCCCCCACACACACTGAACCTTTCACACACATTGCACCACTGCTCCTATTCCCTACTACAGCCCCATATCCCAGCAGACCCCAGGTAAGTTGTCAAACTGTTCTTAAATGGTTTGACTACTTACTCTGGAGCAGTAGTGGTTATTGTGCATGGATTATTTCTTTAAATAATCTACAAGTGCCCCAGTAGCCAGCCAGCCCACAGGCCGGCCAGCCAACCCACAGGCTGGCCAGTAGCCAGCCAGTTAGCCAGCCCACAGGCTGGCCAGTAGCCAGCCAGTTAGCCAGCCCACAGGCCAGTAGCCAGCCCACAGGCCAGTAGCCAGCCCACAGGCCTACAGCAAGCCACAGGCTTACAGCCAGCAAGCCCACAGCCTGCCAGTCGCAGCCAGCAAGCCACAGCCTGCCAGCCGCAGTCAGCAAGCCCACAGCCTGCCGGCAGTATCCAGCAAGCCCACAGCCTGCCAGCCGCAGCAAGCAAGCCCACAGACTGCCAGCCAGCAACAGTAATTAAGGTAAGAGGAGCCAACTTGGCCTAGGTATCAGCGAGCTATGTTGTGTTGCTATATTGTGAATAGGAACCAGAGTGTTGGAGAGACCACCCTCCAGGCCCCATTAGACTCCATTGTAGTCTCTAATGGGGCCTGGAGGAGATTCTTTCTAACACACTCTCTAAAGGACACTGAGATAGCCCCCCGCTAGAAAGACCCCCCTCCATGGCCCATTAGCCCTCAATTGTAGTCTCTGCTGGGGCCTCGAAGGGCTTATTGCCCTTTTGTTCCTTGTGTCTAAAGATTGTGTAGGGTGTGGCTGGAGGCTGTGCATGGAGGCGGGACAAGGGTGGCGCTTGCTGCAGAGTATGGGTGGGGCCTGTAAGGGGGCCCTTGATTTATTTTGCCCGGGGGCCCTGAGGGTTCTCAGTCCGCCCCTGAGTGTGACCCTTTAGGAGAGAGCAAGAGGTAGCTATGTAAGATAGAAGTTACTGGGACTTCTAAAATGATTGAAGGCTATGAGAGAATCAGATGGGGGCAGGCAGGCCGAGAAGGTCATGGGCAAAGCGGAGAGACCGAGAATGGGCATATCTATGAATCAGTGAAAAATATAACAGGGGTTAGAGTTATTTAGAGCTTTATAGGTAATGGTTAGTGTCACGAGCGTGGGCTATAGGCCTAGCCGAGACAGTGGGGAGAGTGTGGAAGTGACAGGGTTAATGACACCAGACCCCTGGTTACCTGTTGCTAGTCTCAATTAACCCCTGCAATCCCTTCTACACTAACCCCCTTAGTACTACTGCCACCACCAAGACATTTAATCTGACAAAAAGGATTCACAGTGCTGAGTACAAAATACAGAAATAAATGACATACAGAAAACAAATTGCAAAACAGTACATAAAATAAAATAGGAGAAAACACAAGAAATTCCTTACATATATTTACCCCATATAGAATTCTTGTGGGAGTCTTAGATGGTATAGGTCTCCTAGAAGTTACTGACAAAAGAAAAATGAATAACTGACTCCCCTGGATAGTCCAACACCCTCATATAGCTAAACTAGTTGTTTCTCAGTGGGCAGACCCCTGGGGGGGGGAATCAGAGGGGGTTGGTCTGGCAGTCTATTGCCCACTCTATGAAATTCCTTGTGTCCAGCTCTGGTGATGGC